CTGGACCAGAATAATAGCAGGCTACCAGTAAAAGTCTGATCTTTATATGAAAATATATCTCAAACTCAATTTTCGGTTTCCTTTGACTCACTTTAAAAGCAATTCTAGGGTTAGGGATGTAGTTCAGTGGTGCAGGGCCTGATCCTGGGTTCAATCCCCAGCACCACAAAGAAAAAAGAAAAAAAAAAAAAAACAATCAATTCTAGTAGCTTTAATAATCTTCCAGTCTTTAAATTCTGTTGGGCAATGTTTTGGGGGTTTTTTACCCTAAAATAGATTTTTAAAAAGTGACTTTGTGCGAAGCTTCAAATCTTAAATTCTTTTAGTGATAGCTAAAGCAAGAGACACTAAAACACTGCCAAATCCCACTCTAAAAATAGTACCTGCGTTTTCGTCTGGCATTTGACAAATGATGCCTACATATGCCATACCAAATACAATGATAAGCTGGCAGACTTCAAGGGCAACAAAACCATTCTGAACACCAAAAACACGCTTGCTCTTAGATCTCACACCTGACGAACGCAGCAATGAAGTGTGGGTAAGATACTGAAAGTGAAGAAGGATTTCATTAGGCTTATTTTTTTTCCTGTAACATTTACTCTTTGGCCACAAGACCCTAAACACAATTTCACAGGACAGATCATGCACAGCTTGCAAGTCAAACGTTTTTACAGCTACTGTCTAACTACTATTTTTGGACAATAGATTCACATGCAGCTAATGGTCCCAGAAAAAGGGGCTTAATAAAACACTCTTCAAGCTTCACTGATGATTCCTTGGTCCAAAATATCTAATAACCCCAAAGGGCAACCAATAAGTTCTCACTGTTATACTTGGGATCACACACTTCTTAAGCCCAGAAAGGATTTTGTTTTTATTTTTTTGCCAAATGCTTGTTACTAGCCCACAAATTCTCTCTAGTCTGTTAGGAACACCTTGATGCCTTGAGCCAATATGGTAGCCACTAGTCACATGGGGCTCTACTTTAAATTGTTTAAAATTAAATAAAATTTAAAGATATGTTCTTTAGTCATATTATCCCCATTTGAATTGTCTAACAGTCATTGTGGAGAGTGGCTATTTTACTGGACAGCACCCATTATGGAACATTTCCATCATTCCAGAATGTTCCACGGAATGGCACTGATCTAGAAAACTGTAAGGGCTACACCAGTGCACAGCTGAAACTCCAAGAGGCCACTCTGTAAGCCACGCACAATATTAAACTTACTTTTTAAAAGAAAATACCTTAGAGCCTTCTGATCAAAAAATGTGATTGGAACTCAGAACCAATTTGCCTTTGCATCAAAATGTGTGCCCCAAGTCATTGTACAAAATTTTTTCAAAGACAATGCTTTTTGGTGGCATACTTAGCTCTACTAAACATATTAAAGCATTCTCTTGCTTATGTCAAGATCATTAATAAAGATGAAAATACATGCTGCTTATAGTTTTACTATTTACACAACATTCATTGTTCTTTACACATGGGGGTGGACCAATGTTCTGCAATTTTAAAAACTCAGATAATATGGTCAGACAGTTTCTTTTAAATGTCTATCCTCTTCCCTAACCCTAACCTTTTTTTGTTTTCCAGAGAGGTAGCTAACTAAAATGAAGAAACAAACTATAAACCAACACTTTTAAAGCAGTAGTTGAGATAATAAAGGGTCTCCATCAGCCCTGACTAGAAGCTCAGCCAGATAGACATGGCGATGGATCTAGAAAGAAGCAAGAGGGACAGCAATGCACAGTTCTCATTCCCCTTTGCTGCAGAATTACAAGTCTCCACACTCCTCTTTGAGCCGCCCTGGGCTCATCTACAACACGAAACCATCRGAGRCTGTTTTCAGCTCTTCCTGGGCTTTCCAGTTGTGACATTTCACTGGTATGCAACTATGAATTCCGGCCTCTGTGTCCTGGGCTTTTGTCACAAGGGGTGTATAAGTTGTTAGTGTTGTGGGTAAATTCCAGAAGAGACCAGAGTAATGGCTTGCCAAATAACATCAAAACATCATTAAGCCTGGAAAAATTCTATCTGGCAGGCTAAGACATCTCTTTGCCTTTCTCCTCCCTGTCCCCCACTTATGAGCGCGCACACACACACACACACACACACACACACACACTCAAAAGCACATCCTAATAAGGAGGTGTGCAACCTGCAAGCAGAATCCATTTAAACAATTTAAATAATGTTCTACCTACATCAGTAAGATTTACACACAAAAAATTCCGATTTAGGTGATTATTGTTAAGTTTTAAGGTCAAGAATCTACCAGAGAGCTGATTAATTTTGCACTGCTTAATTGCAGTTCTAGCACAGGATTGTTTGTAAGTAAAAGCTCTGTGGACATTTTTACTTTACAGCTTTGCACTAAGAAACACAGGACACTATCACCACACACATTAGTGTCTATATATAACCTACTAAACAAGTAGAACTCTATCACATACTACACTACAGGTCAGTCATTTCATACTGTACATAAATGTATGCAGATATCGCTCAAAAAATTAATTTGAATATGACATGGCTTAAAATTACAAAGGTAAAGTCCATTTTAAATGCAGCATTTTAAACGCAATATTTCTGTCATTTTTTTCCTCCAAGAGAAATAGAAATTAGGTCAGACATGCATTACAGCAGCCTGGGAGTTTGAGAAATTGACACTACCCCAACAGTATTTTATGTTATGTAATAGTGGATAATATTCAGCTAATATGATACCTAAATTATTAATACAAAATAAATCCTAGATTATTTGTTGTATAATGCCCAATAGCTTGTACAATAAAATGGCATTTTAACCTAATTTCTAGTTTGAGCTTTCAAATACATTTTCTAAAGGTCTTATGACAAATTTGAAAGATCTGAAAAGACCAGAGTTCCTATTTTTATATTGAATTCTCATGCCAATTAGGTGTTAGCTTTGTATTCTAGTTATAAATTTTTGTTTTATTTCACATGAACTCCATCACCTTAGTATGCATATTTTGTGCTGCTTGAAGATAATAGTTAGCATATAAATAAATAAAGTTGTCTTGATCTTACAGGGTTACTTCCTAGCCTTCCTTTTTGGAACCAGTCATTGCTTTTCTGTCTCTATTTCTCCCCACCCCTACCCTTCCCATCATTTTCCGGGAGTCATTTATACCTAAAAACATATATTTGAGTGGAGTTCTTGACACATACCACCACTTGCTTCCTGAATCCCATAAAAGGAATTACAAGAGAACTATAATGTTTACAGCTATTTCTACATGCACACAAACCCAGAGATGAGAATTTATTATTTAATCCAGCAGTTCTTTCGTTATGAACATTTATAAACCATTACACATTTAARAACACTTACATTAGGAATGTGAATAGTAAGTCTTCCTTGCCATTTCTCTCAATAAAAACATATTTTGAAATACAGATGATTTTCTTGCTTACACCAACAAGAGGAAACTGGAATTCAAAAAGGTCTAATGCTCAAGGAACAGCATCTTTCAAAAAAAATAATTGTGGACGGCCTTTTGAAATGCCCATCAGTTTTGCCATTGCTAACAACAAGTGTGGCTTTTATAATACTYCAGAACTAGGAGAAAAGTCAAACTTTCCGTTACGCTCCATTTGTGCCTTAAAAAATACAGGACTTAAACACAGAGCAGAGGGGTGAGTACTGGGGTGTCGCATAGGGGACGTCTCATTGGGAGGATCGAGGTGCCCACCGTTTCAGATACTTGACTTCTTCAWGCCCACGAGGTCTTAATCCTGGGGTTCTTCTGCAAAGACTCAAAAACCTGAGGTAAATCAAATCACACACACATATACACACAAGTACACAATATTTACATTTTAAATTCTTATTTTGTGAGATGGCTTGAGAAAAACTGGCATACGGGTTTCCTGCGGGATTAGGCATTTCTCCTTATTTCTTGGTTTATTGCTTCCCTGTCGGGCTTCCAGCTTAATAAACACGTAGCAAGCTCTAATCACCAGTGAAGAAAAATGAAGGTACCTGACAAAACACAACACACGGGAGACACTTGTTCA